GCTCAGGCAGGCCCTGAGCTTGCCAAGGTGCCGTGGACCCCATCATTCAGTCCATCCCTCAGGATCAACACTGAGATACCTCAAAAAACTGTCAGGGAGATGGTGTCTTACCAGGTCATGGAGGGTCTGGGGATTCCTGCAGGAGAGGAAAGATGAAGCTCATCATGGAGGGGTCCTTTCAGCCTTGTGGCAGTGGTGATACCACAAGTGCTGACTCCTTTTTGCTGTGGGGCTCCCCAGTGAGAGATGCACCCCTTTTGGGTAGGGCTGTGTAGGAGGACCCTTTGCTCAGGGAGGGCAGGGCTTGCTCCTCTTTGGGGGTCTCCAAATGTTGACCATTCCTCCCTGCCACAGGATCCTGCAGTATGGGCACATGTCAGTGATCGTGGAGAGACAGACAGTGCACGAGACCAAGGGAGACAGCGTGGCCAAAGGGGAGCAGGGGCTGCTCAACCTCGACCCACGCAACGTGGTCTTCTACGTGGGTGGCTACCCTTCCAGCTTCACGGTGAGACAGGCAGTGGGGAGGGAGGCTTGGTTTTCTAGGAGGTATCAGCAATACCTTTGGAGCTTCTTGAGGAGGGAGGGAAGCCCTTGATCTCATGGGAAAACCAGGATCAAACTTGCTCCGTCTGGTTTCATTCCCAGCCTCCTCCTGCTTTGCGCTATCCCAGCTACCGCGGGTGCCTGGAGCTGGACACACTGAACGAGGAGGTGGTGAGCCTCTACAACTTCCAACGCACCTTCCAGGTGGATACTACTGCTGAGAAGCCCTGTGCAAGGTAGGGCACCGTACCCAGGCCAGGGGCAGCTCTGGTCCATGACACTTACCCTGACCCTTGGCTGCCCCAGAGCATGGCACTTGGCTTTGGAATGATGCCTTGGGCCTCTTCTTCTTGCGTGGATCAGGTCCAAATCTACAGGAGACCCTTGGTTGACTGATGGCTCCTACTTTGATGGCACCGGTTATGCAGAGATCAAGTTTGAGAGCCAGTTTGGCACAACCAAGCGCTTCGAGCAGGAGATCCGTGTGGTTTCCTACAATGGCATCCTCTTCTTCCTGGAGAATCAGGCAGGTGCTTGCTCCCCTGGGGAGCCTTCACCCCTCAGCCTCAGCCAGTGGGTTGGGATTGTCCACTTGCTGGCATTCCCAGTTCAGGGCCCTGGGGAGAAGAGGGCTTTGGAGATGTCAGTGCTCCTTGGAGCAGCATCTCTGCACTATTGTTAAAAGCCACAAGAGGGCTGGTGGACCCACAGCAGAGGCAACCACTTGCCTGGTGCTGGAGGGACTCCCCTAAATTCCAAGAGCACCCACATCCAGACCCTCTGAGCTGGGCCAAGGCTCGCTGGGGCAGGCAGTGCTGCCAGGAGCATCTCCAGCCTGTGGTGCCATGGGGCACAGGGCTACTGTTTGCAGAAAAACCCCCAGTCATTGTCCCAGTGATGAGTCAAGGCACCAGCAGTGGGACCTGCTCCCACCAATGCTAAAGGGCAGGTTGGGCTCAGCACCTGGAGACCAGGAGATGGGGCTGAGTGTCCATCCTGCTTCCCCAGGGTCAGTTCCTGTGTCTGGCCATCCGGGATGGGAAGCTGGTGCTTTACTATGACTTCAGCAGCGGCCTGGAGATGGCAAAACCCAGCAGCAACTCCTCCTCCCTCACCATCAGCAGCACCACAAACAAAGCAGTAAGGGGGGCTCCTTGGGGGGCTCCTTGTCCAGGGTTGGGCTCAGCACCTGGAGACCAGGAGATGGGGCTGAGTGTCCATCCTGCTTCCCCAGGGTCAGTTCCTGTGTCTGGCCATCCGGGATGGGAAGCTGGTGCTTTACTATGACTTCAGCAGCGGCCTGGAGATGGCAAAACCCAGCAGCAACTCCTCCTCCCTCACCATCAGCAGCACCACAAACAAAGCGGTAAGGGGGGCTCCTTGGGGGGCTCCTTGTCCAGAGGGTGGGGGGGACACCCAGACCCTTGGCTTTGGCAGGGGAGAGCTGCCAGAAGTTTGACTGGAGCCATGAACCAGACCCCTCATGCTGC